ACCACCTTGAGCAGCCTCCACATATTCTTCTGGCCCATAAGAAAGCTACTTAATGATGCATAAAACTAATTACTATAAAATAAGACCAAATCTGGATGGTAGCTAGTCACAATGTGGAAAATCACGCTTTTTCATGGCCTATTTTCTTTTAAAATGTGTGCCCTTTCCCCGTCTTTAATGTGTTCTGTATATATAAAATAAATACTCTTCACAGCAGGACCCTGGCTTGGAGGCCTTAAAATCCAATAACAGAGTCCTGTAGTTTAATGGCCCTTAAATGCTCAACATCTTTTTCACTTAATGTAAAATCCATCTGATCTAATAGCTGTGACTGAATTATAGATATATAATTTTTTTCTATTAAATGTTAATCTTCTGACTTGGCAGAGCAATAGAAGCTCTAAATTATTAAGAAGGCAATAACCTCTCTAAACTCTTTCCAGAATTCAGAATACTCCCAAGACTGCTATCTTGAGGGGGGGAAAACACAAACCTGCTTAAAAATAGAAAAATAAAAACCAGGCCCATTAAGCACAACAATTTGGTTCCAAATATCAATTATAAGGGGCATTGTCTTCATAGTTCTGTTATTTTACGTCAGCGGACACACACACTTGAAACCCTCGCAATTGTTGCTTCTTTCATTTACACAGGACATGTTGTAACCTTCGCTTCTTAGTTGAATTAATTCATCATGGCTGTTTGTTCTTGCAAGGATAAACAATGGAAATGCCCTCTGATAGAGCAGGGATGCCACACGCCCAATTATGCTCACCACACGCTCTCCCTGCCCAGGCAGTCTTGCTGGAATGCCAGCCTGTGTGGTTTTCCTTTCTTCATCTCTCTCTTCATGACTCACTTGAACCAAAGTCCAAAGGGTTGGGAAGAATCAGACACCATGCTAGGAAGCAGGTTGCAGGTCCCTGGTGAGAATGGCCTAGTGATTCCTGGTCCAGATCATCAGAAGAGCAGAGCTGCTTGTTGCTGCGTCACTGCGCTGAGTAGTGGGGGCTCCTGAATGTGAGAGAGGAACTGTGCTCTCTGGGTTTGCAGAGGCTGATTATTGGAAAAGTATTTCCAGGCCTTCCTTCCGAGGTGTGCCTCTGGGTAGATTCAAACCACTAACCTTTCCAGTAGCAACTGAGAGTTTACATGTGTGCTCCACCTTCCTGATTTAATTAGCCATGGGAGAAACATGGGAAATAACAGACAGAAATGAAAGGGGAGCCAAAATGCCTTTACTATTTTCCATCTTGTGAACAGTGTATGGGACAAACTGTCATCATTGGACTTGGGGTCTTTTCTGTGAAAATCCTTCACAGCACTTAGCAGCAGGGGGGAAGGGCCACGTGCTTTCCCCCTCTGCCAAACGTGGACAGTCACGTACCACGTGTTCTCCGAGGTGAATCCTCTCCAATAGTCATGTTTGGACAAGGGCACTGTGACGACTGTGGAGCACAGAGCTCGTAAGCACAGTCACTACAAGGTTGCAGAACCCACTGCAGAAGTGGCCATGAAGTAGAACTTTCTCCCCTACTCCAAGAAAGCAGATGTGACTAAGAACTTGTAACAGCAGCTAACTAATGTTTAGCGTGACTAGACGCGGGGCTGCTGGTCCATGTGGTCCTTGGGAACAACAACAATTAACTTGAAACTCTGCCCCTTCCTTTGAAACAAGGGTGCCAGAGACCGCAAGGCATTCAGACAGACAGAGCCTGTGTGAGGACAGTTTCGTTCCTTGTTGGAGGCAGATAGGAATATTAGGGGGGGAGGTGTTCCTGAGAGAAAGCTGCAAGATTTTTAAAGCAACAATGAGTCAATACACTTAGAATAGCAAAAGATTTTTCTATTTTTTAATATCAAATTTGGTTGTTTTTGTTAGGTGCCTTCAAGGTTACTACTCATCCTGAGCCTATGAGCAACAGATCTGAACCTTGCCCTATCCTGTACCACCCACATGATTTTTTATTTGCTTCAGCCCCTTGTTTGTGGTATTGGAGAAGGGTTTTGAACATCCCTTGGTCTGCTAAAGAACAAACTGCTATGTCCTGGAGCAAGAACAGCTGGAGTTCTCCTTGCAGGCAAAGATGATCAAGTTTTGACTCACATACTTTAGACATGTTGCTAGCAGAGGGTATTCATTAGAGAGGGACATCATGCTTGGAAAAGCGGAGGGTCAGTGAAAGAGAGGAAGACCTTCTACAAAATGGATTGACACGGTGACTGCAGCAATGAGGCTCGAGGGGCCAGAGATGATGAGGATGGCCCAGGATAGGACAGGGATCAGGACTGTCATTCATAAAGTCACTATGAGCCGTACTCAACAGCACCTAACAACATTGTTAGAGTCATTGAAATTTAGGTTAGAGTCAAGAAAAACTTTTCTCAAAGCAAGTCAGAACAAAGACTAAGCCAGACTCATCTGGAATTTCAGAACAACACAGGCAAACCTAATTAAGTGCTGTCACTGTGATATTAAAACTTTTAAGGTGCTCATTGCATGAGTATGTAATCTTACATTAAAATAAATTTTTAACACTGAGGTTCTGTCAAAAGGAATGATCTTTTCTCATTGAAGTTGGAGTGGTAGAAAACCTAAACCAAACAATGTGGCAGTAATAAGTTTTTCAACAAAGGACTGAAATGGGAATGTAATGATTTAGAAAGCATTGACATCTTAGGCAAACATCACCTTTCCTCTTGGCCATAAGCACAGACGTTATACGTCACAGGAGCACAGAGCAGCAGGGAAACCAGCCGTTGCCTGCTATTATCTGCATCCCATTTGCTACCTTTAATTGTCAGTCTTGTACATGCATTCTCTGCCTCTGAAATCTGAAGGTGAGTGAACAGGATTAATTCAAGGAGGTGCCCTGATACTTCACTCTAGTGAACAAAAGTAGAATTGTTATCACTATCTGTACTTTGGACCTCCACCCCAGATTCTCCAAAGATAGCAAATTGGTTTAACTTGCAAATCCTTTACAAGGATGTTCAAAACAACTTGCCACAAACAAGATTTTATTGACAGTTGAAGACAAAAGGAAAATAATACAGAATACTCCCTCTTCCCACCCCTAACAAGGAAAGTACAGCACTGACTGGCAGTATCCAGTACAGAACTCTGCTCTAGCTGACAGCTCCAGCAGGTGCCCTAAGACTCGTGAACAAGCCCTCCTGCTGAAGGACATTCCACATAAGCACTAAAGAAACTCCATGTTGCTTATGTAAACTGGTTTTTGTTTTTTTTTTGTTGTTGTTTTTTTTGCAGTTGTGTACCACTGAGTCAGAACCAAGCTATAGCTGACCCCTCCAGTGGATTTTCAGAGGCAGTTAACCGAATCGGAGGAGACTGCCCAGCTTTTTCCCCACAGAGCAGCTGGTGGATTCTAACTGCGTGCTTTTGGGATTGCAGCACAGCTTCTTGCCACTAGGCCGCCAGAACTCTGTAGGTAAACTAGATATCTCTGTCTAAAGACCTAAAAGAGAATTAAGTTCTCACCATTCTTTCTGACTGGAGAAACCTGATGTTTCATTCTTTTGTGGGCAAAGCCATTTTGAAGATCTTTTTACTCAGATGTCCTGGAAGAGTGGGGTTGCAATCCAGTTCCGAATGCTTAGGAATTATTGCTAAGGTGTGCTTTACGATTTAAAAGAACTTGGCTTTGAGTTGTTTAGTCCTTAGGGACCATCGAGTTAACCACAATTCACAGGCACCCTGTGAGCGACAGTTCTAAACCCTGAGCCATCCTCTCAATCTCAGATACTCGTGAGCCCACTGTGTCAGCCCATCTGCACAAAACTTGAAAGAGAAATCATAGGTCCAGTTAATCTGCAAACAAAATTTTAAGGTTCAATGGGCACAGTAAACAACACATTAAAAATAATATACACATACTTCATTTAATGAGATGCAGTTAATTAAAATGGTTGGTTACACTGATGTATTTACTATAAATATATCTGATTTTGTGATTTTTCTCACAATCTATAGTCTCAGTTTACTGTGTTAATATACTTTAGTCTAAAACCGTATAGATCTATTTTCTAAAATCAATACTCAAACAATCTTTTAAGAAAACTGCATTTGACATTATTACTCTCATTAGTGCAAATTTCCTATAAATAAGTAAGAAACATTTGGAGGATACGTGTATAATGAGTGCTTGGTTACTATAGTAGCAAATGTCAAAGTAATTGTTACCAAAAAAAGTCTAAAATTTCTGACACTTTGAGAAATCTAGAACACCATTTATCACGGTTCTTTAAATACTGTGGCAAGAAAAGTCACCACAAGTAAAAATTAAGATACTCTTGTGGAGATTATGAGGCAATTTTTATTATAAATTCCTGATATATCCCACCCCTGCTGTTCCTAATCTAAATGTAATTTAGTACTGCAAACTCTTTATGAAAAGAAGTGATTGGTGTTTTGTTTTGTTTTGTTTTTAAAAAGCATAAGAGTCCCTAGCATAAGAAGAAGAAGAAAAAAATCTGTTCCTTCAAACAAGTTAAAGGCACTCATTACATTACTTCAATAAAGAGGTAACTTGGCCAGCCAAGTTACAAGGCGTTTCTCAAAACCACATTAGTCTCAAGGCGCCAATGACAATTGGAAAGGTCTTTTGATCCACTAAAAAATGGCCACCGACCAAATTAATTTTTCTGAAAGAAATCTTTAAACAATTATCCCAGCCCAAACCTTCTTCATACAGACCCAATCATGTTTTATTAGGGACTCAAGGTTTAAAAATATATAGTCAATCCAAGGCAAAGTGTTAGGCTGTTTGCCAAACTGTAAAATATACATATATTGAATATCTGCCTAAACAGACATAGAAAAACTCAGTAGCACACTCATCCAATTAAAAAAATAAAAACCTTGCTGAGGCAACAAAATATATTTTATTTTCATCAAGCCAGCACAGGAAGGCCGGGGAAGACTGCGCAGTCACGCACGGAAGGATCAGCACCAGTGGGATACGGCACAGTGCTGACCACTAGCACACGAGGCCCTGCCGCATCTGTATGATCTGCAGTAAGGCTGCCTGGACATCTTCATCCATGTGGCCCTGCAGAGAAAAGAGAGGGGACTTATTTTATGTCATCTTCCTGCACACAAGGCAAGGCTTTGTATGGTGATGTGCTATTGGTATTATCAGGGAGTGAGGGAAAGTAGCTGTCTACAATGGAAATAAAGAAAGTCCCTTTAAAAATGGTACATGCTAAAAAAAATGGTACACGCTAGTTGCTATGAACTTCTACTGTCAGAACACAGACAGATAAGCCTATACCCATTCTCCAATGTCCCCTGCTCCCTGTCTCATTCTAAGTCTTAGACAACAGGGGCTTTTTAACATTTATACTAGTGTAAGTTATAAATGAGCAAAGTCTACAGAATAATATCCATACACATACAAGGAAGTCTAGTGAATACCACTATCATTCAACTATATGCACCAACAACCAGAGCCAAAGAGGAGGAAATGGAAGATTTCTATCAACTTTTGCAATCAGAAATTGATCAAACATGCAATCAAGATGCATTAATAATAATGGGCAACTGGAACGCAAAAGTTGGGAACAGGGAAAAAGGATCAATAGCTGGAAAACATGGACTCAGTAAGAGAAATGAGGCTGGAGATAGAATGATAGAATTCTGCACATTCAATGATTTATTCATTGCAAATACCTTAAAAAAAACACACAAACACAGGCTATACACATGGATTTCACCTGATGATATGCATAGGATTCAAATCAATTACATGTGTGGAAAGACTCGCTGGAGAAGCTCAATATCAGCTGTGAAAACCAGGCCAGGTGCTTATTATGGGACAGACTACCAACTATTAATATGCAAGTTCAAGTTGAAGTTGAGAAAAATTAGATCCATGGGAACCAAAATTTGACCTTAAGTCTGTCCCACTCGATTTCAAACCATCTCAGGAACAGGTCCGAGGCCTTGAGCACCAATGAGCATAGATCAAATGAGCTCTGGGAGGATATCAAGAAAATAGTCTAGGAAGAATGCAAAAGATCAGTACAAAGGCTGAAAAAGAAGAAAAGACCAAGATGGATGTCAGATGAGACTCTGAATATTGCATGAGAAAGCTGAGAAGCCAAAGCTAAAGGGAAAAAAACCAAGAAAACAAAGAGAGGAACAGAAAATTTCAAAAGGTACCTCGGGACAACAAAGCAAGATAATATAATGAAATGTGCAGAGAGCTGGAATCAGAAAATGGGCCGAACTCGCTCAGCGTTTAAGTTGAAGGAGTCGAAAAACAAATTGAAGCCATGGATGGTAATACTTAAGGATACTTTGGGTAGAATGTTAAGTGATCCAAGAAGCATTAAAAGAAGATGGAAAGAGTACACAGAGTCACTGTAGCAGAAGGAATTGGCTGACACAGAAGAAGTTAATGAAATAACATATAAGCAACAGCCTGTGGTGATGAAGGAGGAAGTTCAAGTTGCTCTGTAAGAATAGGCAAAAAACAAGGATCCCGGAGTTGACGGCATACCAATTGACATATTTCAACTAACAGACACTGCCCTGGATGTGCTAAGTTGTGTCAAGAAATGTGTAGGACAGCCAGCTGGCCAACTGACAGGAAAAGATCAGTATTTCTTCCCCTTCCAAAGAAAGGTGATCCGACAGAGTGCAGAAATTATCGAACGATATCATTAATATCACATGCAAGCAAGATCCTGCTGAAAATTATGCAAAAATTATTGGAGCAATATGTCAACAGAGAACTGTCAGATAGGCAAACTGAATTTAGAAGATGTTGGGGTACTAGGGATACTATAGCTAATGTTAGATGGATCTTGGCAGAAAGCAGAGAATACCAGAAGAATGTCTATCTGTGCTTCACTGACTATGCAAAGGCTTTTGACTGAGTGGATCACAACAAGCTATGGCTGACTCTGAGAAGAATGGGAATCCCAGAATTCGCATTATGCTAATGCGAAACCTATACTTGGACCTACAGGCAGTTGTCAGAACAGAGCAAGGAGATACTGCATGGTTTAAAATTAAGAAGGGGGTCCATTAGGGATGTATTCTGTCTCCATACCTTTTCAATCTGTATGCAGAACAGATCATACAAGACGCTGGGCTGTACGAGGAGGAATGTGGCAACAGGATTGGTAGAAGAGTCATCAACAACCTACATTATGCGGATGACACAACCCTGCTTGCTAAAACTGAGGAAGACCTGAAGCACTCACTGCAGAGGGTCAAGGACAGCAGCCTTCAATATGATTGAAGCTCAACATCAAGAAAACGAAGATTTCACCACTGGACTAATTGGCAGCATCAGTATGGATGGTGAAGAGACTGAGATAGTTAAGTTTTAGTTTGCTTGGCTCCACAGTCAACACTCTTGGTAACAGCAGCCAGGAAATCAAGAGACAAATTGCATTGGGATAGTCAGCTGTGAGGGACCTCTCAAGAGTACTAAAGAGTCAGGCTGGAGACTAAGGTGCGCCTGATCTGGGCTATAGTCTTCTCAATTATGTGCTATGCATCAGAGAGTTGGACAGTGACTAGGGATGACAGAAAGAGAATCGATGCCTTTGAGCTGTGGTGCTGGAGAAGAGTGTTGAATATACCAGGGACTTCTAGGAGAACAAACAAGTTTTTCCTAGAGAGAGCTGAAATGCCTCTTGGAGTCAAGCATTCTGAAGCTCTGTCTGACATACTTTGGGCATGTCAGGAGGGACTGGTCCTTGGAGAGAGACATCATGTTTGGGAGAGTGGAGGGACAGAGCAGGAGAGGAAGACCCTCGATGAGATGGATCAATTCTGTGATTGGGGTGGTGGGAGTGAGTGTGTCAGAGACGGTGAGGCTGGACAGAGCAGAGTTTAGGGCTCTTGTACATAGGGTCGCTATGAATCGCAAGCGACTCAATGGCTCATAACAACAACAACATAACAAATGTTAATTTAATCAAATAAGCAACATGAAAAATATCCTCATTTTTATCTTTTTCTATAACAGGATCATACAAAGATTTTGCAGCTTGCCTTTCCCCCTTAAATATTATATTTCTCCCTTAAACTTACCTAATTATTTTAAATTACTGTATAATATCTCACTGTGTTACAATTTCTTTACCTACTTCCTCAATAATGGACAGTTGAGGTAGTTCTGAATTTTATGGATAGATTCCTAGAGAAGAAATTGTAGGTCTAACTTTTAATTTTGCCAACTACTACAAAATTAGTCTAAAGGGACTACAATAATAATTTAAACTTCCACCAACAGAGTATATACTTCTATTTTCTGCAACATTCTGGCTACTGTTATAAATGATGAACCTGTTTATTATTTGCCAATGCCACAGGTGAAAAATGGTACCTTCTGGTGGTTTTCTCCTGGTCTGTCTGTCTCTCCAGACCAAGAGATTCCCCCCTGGGAACCCCCTTAATAAAGCTGCTTTAAGCTTAAAAAAAAAAAAAAGAGTACCTTCTTATTTATTTGCACTTTTTCCATTACTAATAAGGTTGGGCATCTTTTCTCATGCACATTAGCCATTTATATTCAGAAAGAAATAATTTTAGCTTAAAAAGATGGCAAGAGGTTGACTACATACAAGTTTATAAGCCTCAACTATTGTAGGGGGGAGTTTGGCGGGGTGTCTTTGCTTGAGCATTTGAAATAATTTCTATTAATACAAAAAGTTTTGCTTCCAAAATCTGTTTCTGTAGTAGCAAGATGTTTAAATTTTGAACATTAGCCATAGATAACTAAACTGAATTCCTTAGTTAACTACACGATGCCAGAAGGCAAAAGTATTTTGGATGCCAATTGTTTCTGTTCTGTTTCACTAGGAGGACAGCGGAAGGCTCCACGGTTTGCAGTGTCTATGAGGCAGGGAATGTGCTTCTCTTTGCTTGGCTAATGTCTGACCAAAGTGAGTGCCTCACTCTCTCTAACATAGATCTCCTGTGCTTTTATACTATTTCTGCACCTAAACTCCCTATAGAACTCTCTTGTTGGCACAAATGACTAAGCACTCAACTACAAGCTGAAAGCTTGAGCATCTGAACCCGTGCCTAACAGGTCTGATGGCCTGCTTCCAAAGGCCACCACCTTGAGCATCCCATGCAGCATTTCTACCCAGCACAAGTGAGCTTACCATAGCTGCAACTAGCAAAACAATAGACAAACTCCATACGCTGGAGCCTACCAACAGTCTTCTCTAATATCTATAATATACTTTCAAACATCAGCTTTTTATCCTTCCATGTATTTTAAAAGAGCACAACCAGAGACAAGCTCCCCATCACCAATTATTTCTGCTCGTTGGTTTCTCCCCCAACTCCTACACAAAAGGCAGAGTTCAATTTAAAAAATTAGATGTCATAAAGTTACTTCATTTTTATTTCATCTAATTGCTTTTATTACTTCATCTACCTTTCTTTGAAGCTTTTAATATCTGTTCACTTTTTTTAAATAGTGTGGCTCAATACATTTCAAATTCTGAAACAGTTTAAGTTATGTTATAGATCACTTTCAAAATTCTGTTTCAGCCCTGGTCTCATTATTACACCTTGAAAACCCTATTCTGAGAACTCAGGAGACAGATTTTTGTAAAGCACTAAATATAAAGTCTTCCATAATTTCATCATTTGTAAGCACAACTTTAATACGTATCTTTTTCCCCCCCCCGGATATATTTGTTTATTCTTTTATATATATATATATATTAATTATACACACATATATGAGTTTGCTTACAAAGTTCATATACATAGTGTTTTACACTTTTCTTCATTCACAACGTGTTTCATATAATTATTCCCACGCATTATGTTTTAGAAAATTAATCATCATTGGATGATTTTAATACCTTTCTAAGTACATGCCCCAAAGAATGGACTTCTTAAATCTTGTGCTTCACGGAGTTTAAAGCTCAATAAAGAAATATTACTGATGATCTTCTAATTAGTACAATTCTATGCGTACCCTATACTCTCTAGTATACTGTCTATTCCTGAGAAATATTCGTGAGCTTCTAAGAACCACAGGGCTCTTTCCCCTCTCCTTTCTAAGCTGACGGCCGGGTAGATGTGGAGGGACCATGCTTGCTAGCAACCCCATCACTGAGTGCTGCCATCGTATGTTGCCAAACGGTCTACAGACTGAGTGATGAGCAGATGGAGACAACACTAAATTTAAGATACTGTGTTGCCATATAGCTTTGTCAATTTCTCTCCTAGATATGCAATCACGATTAAAGGGAATGAAATTATTTTTTAAATAAGCATATGGGATAAAGCTACTTTAAATATCAATACCGTTCAGAAAATTTACTTAAAAATAATAAGAAGAAAAAATCTTCTGCACTCCTTCAGAAAAGTGGGGGGGCGGGGGTGAGGAGATTCCTTTCCAAGAGGAAGAATTCTTTACCTGTGCGGCACTAAGGAGATGTGTCCTATAAATCGCAATTACTTCTTGGTGCTGCCTGTCAGCATCCTGGAAATGTGAAGAGATGGGGAGATCAGAAAAATCATCACTCACATTACGGACAATGCTATTCTCAGGCCAGATGCGGCAACTGGGCAACAAGACTGAGGTACTTCCACTACACCCCCACAAACCACCATAGCCCCCCACATGTACAAGTGTACAACATAAGTGTGCAGCAACTCCTTTGATGGGTACATCTGAATATTTACAGGAAAACCAATGCCATTTTCTCTATGTGACATGAAATGCTTTAGGGATACATTTAATACTGTAAAAAGAGGGGGGAAACCAACCTGAACACCTGGACTAAAAACTAACAGATAAATGGAGAAAAGATTGAAGTTGTCAAGGATTTTAATTTACTTGGATCCATAATCAATACTCATGGAAGCACAGTTGAGAAATCAAATTATGTATTGTATCACGCAAATCTGCCATCAAGGATCTCTTTAAAAGTGCTAAAGAATAATGATGTCAGTTTAAAGTCGGAGATGCCTGACTCAAGCCATGGTCATTTCAATTGTTTCATATGCATCTGAAAGTTGAACAATGAATAAGGAAGACCACAGAAGAATCTTTACCTTTGAACTACTATAGTGTTGCCAAGAATACTGAATACACTACCACTGCCAAAAAGAACAAACAAATCTTCCTTGGAAGAAGAGTAAACAGAGTGCTCCTTAAAAGCAAGGAACGGTGACACAGACTTAATAGCACATAATACTTCAAGCATGTTATCGGGTATGCCCTTTGAAAAGGACATTACATTTGGAAAAATAAAGTGGAAAAAAAGGAAGACCCTCAAAAAGACTGCTTGATATAGTGACTACCATGGGCTGAAGCAGAGCAGAGACTGAGGAGATGCAAGCACAGGTAGCGTCTTGTTCTATTGTACGCAGGGGTGCTATGAGTGGGGCTCAAGCTAAGGGCATCTAACAATAACAACAGTGTAGGCATTTATTTATACTTTAGATTATTACAGAAATTTTCCATTTTCTCTCTAAAGAGAACTCCCTACCACGTTTCTGAGACTAAAGTGGGTCTTTCCTGATATCATCGTGGCTCAAAGACCTTGAGTCACACTTCTTTACATCTAAGAAAGACCCCACACTCACTGGCTCAGTTCTTAACGTCTCCCACAATTTGTTTTCGAATAGTGCTCCTATAATCGACAGTCTATTTGGCCCCAGAGCAGGCCAAGGTGATTCCACCTCAGTAGCTTTCTTCCTAAGATGTCCTTTGCCTGGAAGATCTTCTGGGCCATCTGTCAAAATGCCATCTATCTCCCCTGAGCCCATGGTCTTTAGCTGTCTTTTGAGCCTGGAGCTGAACTCACCCCTGTGGCACCACTTTTAGCCAAGCAGTAGACAGATCTGCACAGTGAACAGTAACACGAAGAAGGCACTCAGTCCCTGAACAATCAGCCAAAAAGCCTACAAGGGCAGCATGAATGGAAACCACACCACAGAGGGGCAATAAGAATATGAATGGTTGATTGGAATACAACTGTAAGTCCTGTAAACTTTTCCTCAAATCGCAATAAAAAGGAAAAAAATGACCAAAAAAAAAAAATCTATCTTGTACGTTCAGCTTATATGAACCCTTCCTCTTTGAAACTAGTTCTCAACACAAGTAATCTTTTCTTCTCAGGGCCTCCATTACTGAGAGTCTGCACTGCATTTCCAGTTCTCTATCTGACAGCTCTTACTTTACTCTTCATATTTTGCCTTTTTAATTATCTATAACTTCGCCTGACATACTTTGGACATGTTGTAAGGAGAGACAGGTCTTTGGAGGGGGACATCATGCTGGGCAGAGTGGAGGGACAGCGCAGGAGGGGAAGACCCTCTATGAGGTGGATTGATTCAGTGACTGGGGTAATCGGGATGGGTGTGTCAGAGGCAGTGTGATTGGCACAGGATAGAGCAGGGTTTAGGGCTGTTGTACATAGGGTCGTTATGAGTCGCAAACGACTCAACGGCACATAACAACAACAACAACGTAACTTCTTAGGGCTAAAGCAGTAAGTATTCTCTTTATTTCTGACAGTGCTTAGCAAAGTGTTATAAACCTGACTATTTATAAATACTTCCAAATACTAAAGGGAATACTATACCCTTTGGATGAAATTTACATCTGCAATCCATCATCAATAATCTGTATGCTCCCCAAACCCACTGCCATAGAGTGTATGATGCCTCAGCCTGCTAATGCAAAGGCTGGCAGTTTGACTGTACCCACCCCTTCTCAGGAGGAAAACAGAGAGTCCCTAGCTTTAAAGTGATGTGGCTTAGAATGGGGCTTTAAAATCCACATGGTTCCTTTTAATACCACAACCACAGACATAAAGTATCAAACCATAAAAATGCCTTTTTAAAAATCTTGATAAAAATTTTATTTAAAAAATCCTTCTGTTTAGTGGCCTAATATTTTAGAGAAGGTGTGAGAGATATTAGATTTGGAGTCAACTGGCTTGCATTTTAATTTTTGTTTCTTTAAGAACTAAAAAGGAAAGTTAGAATCTGCCTTCTGGGATTGTGATTATGATAAAGTTTAGAGACACATTATGTGAAAAAAAAAATCTCCTGCCATCAATCAATTCTGATGCACAACAACTCTCTGAGAGGGAGCAGAACTGCTCCCAGGACGCGGGGCTGCAGCCACATTCTCCCCTGCAAAGCAGTTAGTCGGTGGGTGTGAACCCCTGACATTCTGTCTCTCAACCAAGTGCTTGACCCGTGTGCCACCAGGGCTCTTTTAGCATATTATCAAAACCAAACCCACCGCCCTTGAGTCACAGGGACCCTAACAGGCTAGAGAACTGTCCTTTGGGGTTTCTAAACTTAGAAATCTTTACAGAAGCAGAGACGTGTAACCCAGAACACCAGCTCGTCTCCTTTGTAGCATCGAACCAAACCTGCTGCCACTGTCGTGAGCTGACTCACAGTGGAGTTCCATCAGTTTCTGAGGCTATAAATCTTTACCAGAGGAGACTGTTTTGCTTTCTCCCTTGGAGCGATTAGGTGGATTCATACTGCCAACCTTTTGATTAGCAGCCCTCCAGGTTATTACTATGCCACTAGGGCTCTTTCTTTAGCATCTGTTATTGCTAAGTAACATTTAGCATGTGTTATTGGTGCCAACTCCTAGCAACCCCATGCACCAAATAACAAAACCTTGGGCAAACCTATGCCATCCTAAGGAGTACTCTGCTGAGTGTAAGCCCACGTTCCAGTCAGTGTCATAAGGTTAGCATTCTCACTGAGTGGCATCCAACTCATAGGTGGTTCCCCAGTAGACTTCAGAGGCTGTAAGCTATGAGAAGACCCTGCCCATTTTCCTCCCTCAGAGCTGCTGGTGGATTCGAATCACCACCACCAGAGTTCCTTTTTAGCATCCAAAACTCAAACTCAGTGAGTGCTCCTGAGCAACACATAGCTGACCCAGCAGGTCTCTGAGGCCATAAATCTCACTGGAGGAGGCTGTCCACTTTTCTTCTGCAGAGCTGTTAGGAGAGTCAAATGGGTGAGAAGTGGAGCCTTGGCTCAGTGGTACAACTCTCTACAGACTAGGCCACCACAGCTGCTGGTGCTGTTAGGTGCCTTCAAGTCAATTATGACTCACAGTGATTCTATGAGCAATAGATCTGAACCTTGCCCTCTCCTGCACCATCCTCGGGATTTCCGATATGCTCAAGAGTCCATTACTACAGTCACTATGTCAGTTCACCTCCTTGAGGATCTTCCTCTCTTTCTCTGACCCTCTCTACCTTTCCCAATATGCTATCTTTTCCCAAGGCCTGGCCCTACCTGACAACATGCCCAAAGGGAGAGAAAGTTCCATCATCCTTGCCTCTAAGGGGCTCTCTGGTTATACTTCCTCTAAGAGAGATTGTTCTTTTGGCAGACCATGGGACATTTAGTACTCCTCTCCAACACCACACTCAAAGGTAGCCATTATCCTACTACCAAAGTTGTTGTTGTTGTTGTTTGGTACTGTAGAGTCATAGACGACTCATAGCGACCCTATGAACGAACGGCCTGAGCACTGTTCATACATAGTTTGCGGAGGCAAGCCATTTCAGAAGTGGATGCCGCTCCTGCTTCCAGGCACTACCAAAGGAGGCACCGAATAAATAAGGTTATCATGCATCATGTTGTTATTATGCATAAATGATGTTATTAGTATAAGCAACTCTTCTTTCTTTCTTTTTTT